TTCGGACATCGATAAGCTTTCCTTGAGGATCTATTACCCTCTGAGGTATGTTATATCCTTGGATTTTAATAAGGATAATGCTTCCTTGATGGACGTTCAATGGGACATAACATTTGCATTGCACGGTAGATCTTTCTTTGCTAGCCGTATCTACTAGCCTCTTAATGATTAATTTTGGACGATTCGTCTTTCTGTGCTAAATTTCTGTTAGCAATGCAAAATAGTCATGAGAATTGGGTGCTTTTTAGATTTCATAGCGACTAACCATCTCAGAGAGCCCAGCTGAGTGAATAGATGCAGCCACAATTGAACATTATTTTACTCACAATCTGTAAATTGGTAGAGAGCTTCTCATATAGTGTACAGTGAAGTAAAGACCATATCTAAAGAAAGTAAGAGAAAATTCATGTTAGAAGAAATGACGTAACCAAAAACGACTTAACAAGGATTTCATAGAGACTATTGCTATTTGTCCAGAGGTTATTTACCATCCTCTAATGTTTTCCCATCATATTTTGCATGTTCTTTTCATCCTATTGTTCTTATTATAGATCTTTGTAATCTTATACTAGGTACGGCTTTTTAAAATCGAGGATCTATCAGCTTGTTTTTCATTTTCAATAATTTCTTTCAACTTGTCTTGTTTTTAAATTCACTGTTACTCATTAGTACATTATATTAAAAACCACCAATTAATTTGCAGACTGTGAGTAAAATGATCTTAAAGCTGTATAAATGAATTTAAATCGTACTTTTGTCGCAATGTGAGTTGCCTATATTCATTCAGCACCGCTCTGTGGGTTTAATTTTTGCCATAAAATCGAAAAAACCTGCAATTTCCATTGATATACTAAGTGACATATAAATCCGAACACCCAGTTTAAATGGTTTTATTTTAATAAAATTTTGTATAAGTACTTAATGAAGCACAATAAGTAAATGATAGAAATTTCAAAATGAGTGCGCTGCTTTAAAGCCCTTTGACCTTTAATAACGTGTGGATGCACCCTGATGTGCTACGCATTCTCCAACGCGCCTAGGCATGCTTCTGATCAGGTGGTCAATGTCCTCCTGTGGTATCTCATTCCAGGCAACCACCAACTCCTCTCGAAGTGCTTCTAGAGTCTGAGGAGGACGTTGCAAATTGAGCAATCTCCTACCCATCATATCCCACACGTGCTCAATTGGGATAAGTCGGGAGATCTAGGTGGCCATGGTAACAATGGGACATCATTATGTTGAAAGAAGTCTATTGTGACTCGGGCATTATCTTGTTGGAAAGTTGGATCTGCCAGGGTGTCAAGATAGGGTAAAAGATGGGGTTCTAGAACTTCGTGGATATAACGCTGCGCGTTCATGTTACCTCTGATGAAGATGAAAGGTGACCTGGAACCATAAGCTATAGCACTCCAAACCATAACTCCAACAGTGAGATGGACCTGTCTTTCAACAAAAAACTGTGGATTCCTGCTTTCACCACGTCGCCTTCTAACCATCGTGCATGCCTAAACAAAATCGAGACTCGTCACTAAAGACAATACTGTTCCATTCCTGATCCCAGAGTGACCGTTGTCTGCACCACTCAAGGCGATTACGTCGGTGTTCTCGAGTTACAGGGAGGACCCAGTGTGGCCGGTATGAAAACAAGCCAAAACTTCTCATTCGTCGGTAAACACTTCCCATGCCAATAGGTCTTCCGTGTTCTGCAAACCTGGTAGTGGAGCAACGGTCCCTTAAGGCCAATAATCTGAGGCGGCGATCTTCACGGTCTATTGTTCTACGGCGGCGTCCAGTGCCCCTTGCTCTTTGCGTACGGCCTTCTCGAAGCCATGCCTGACAACACCTAACCACAGTGTCTACACTTCTTTGCACTCTAACTGCAATTGCCCGAAAAGAAAGTCCAGCTTCCCGAAGTCCCACTATACGGCCCCTATCAAACTCACTAAGTTGACGAAATCGTACAGGTCTCCGTACCTACGTCAAGAACCAAAATCCGACAACGTTGATTCTTTACTGCGGCTGAAATATTCATTTTTAGAACGTTAGTGAATTAAAAAAAGCAGTATAAAAACCAGAATGTCCAACTGATAAGGCTGAAAATTTTTTCATTTGTTATTTACAGTAAGATAAATACATTCACCAACTTTTATTAAAATAAAACCATTTAAACTGGGTGTTCGGATTTATATGTCACTTAGTATAACTTGCATTGCTGACTATAACTTCCAACCATCAAAAGTGTAGCATCAACATTATGAATAGTTGCTGTGACCACAGAAAAATCATTATGACATCGACTACAGCTTAATTTAAAATGCAACTGTTAGATCCTCCCTTGAACGTTCCTTAAGGAAGCGTTATTGTTTCTTTAAAAGACAAGGAAAATCATTTCTCAATGGCTCTCAATCCTTAAAAAACGTTTATAAATGTGACCTTTGGCGTCAGAAAAGGCCTGACATTGCAATTTTCATTGCTTAGAAATGCGGTAAGAGCTATTGTTGTTGAGACTACAAAGTGTCTTCATTAAAGTTTCAATATTTTGGACATTGTTTTAAAGGTTAGTTATTTAATTGCTAGTTACAAGCGTGGTCCATGACCTGTTCTCCGAAACCAAAAAATGCAACGTTTTTGGCTCCTCTTTGTAAAGGAAATCAAACTTCTAACTTATACTATTTACCATTTCCTCTATGTCTTTAAGGTGCAAGGAGATCACCTTCCTACACCACCACCAATCCCTAAAGAGATACTTGAAGGGCTGGCCCAGCAGCAACACCAAATTCACGATGAAGCAGGAAGTCAAGGTGACCATCAGACGCATCAGGGAGAATATGAAGAGCAAGAACACTACTAAGAACGTGTACCAAAATTTCCTGTACATACTTATAGTCTGGTACTGTCATTCTATCACCGAGGAGAATGCCGTACTGATACTTCCACTTAAAGTAAAACAGAACTGTTTAGTATCATTTTTTAGCAATTTGAATTTGGCAATTTCTAATAATAAGTGTTATGCAGGTATAATGGTTATGCACGAGGTTTGAAAGGTCGATACAAACATTTTAAGATCTAATAGTTATACCCCACTCGGGATTTAGAAGTACGAAGGACACGAAAATATATTAGAAATCGGCTACAGCTTATTTTCTATAAGATACGTAGTACGTCAGAGCTTTGAATTTCTGGGATGTAATGAAATTTTGTAATGTTCTTGAAAATGTTGATTGTATTATTGCGTATTAAATTTATAGTTTTTACTATATTTTGAAGTTGTGGTTACCATATCCTCGCAGTGAATGAAAGCGGCACGGTACTGACAAATCGAGTCACTCACACAAATTAATATTCTGTTTTTTTGGAGTTAGGAATTATTGCTGTGTTTAAAAACACAATCTAAACGATCATCTTAATTACTTGTAATGCCCAAATCAAAAATGTAAAAAAAAATATTATTTTCCCATAAATAATTAAAAATGCATCGAACCTTAAAAATCGAGTATTTGGAGTTAGGAATTATTGCTGTGTTTAAAAACACAATCTAAACGATCATCTTAATTACTTGTAATGCCCAAATCGAAAATGTAAAAAAAAATATTATTTTCCCATAAATAATTAAAAATGCATCGAACCTTAAAAATCGAAATATCTCAAAAACGGCTAACTATAACGAAAACTCACAGGAGAGCTTTTTTATGTTGAAAAGTGCGAAGAATCAGTTTTTTTATTCAAAAAGCAAAAAATTGCACTAAGAAAAATTTTTCGGTCATTTTAATACACTACAGGTACAGTAGAGAGCGTCATCTAGCGGCTACAGTAAAACTATGCCCATGGTTCGTTTTGTCGTACCAAAAAAACCCTTGCATACCAATTTTTACTGTTATACATCAAATATTGTTCGAAATATTTAATAAAAACTATTTTAGAAAGTTAATTTAAACACCCTGTATTTCGGAAGCCACGCATTTTTCGACCCATGTTTATTTAGACTTTATGCATTAATTTTAAAAGTTCGATCGAATCATAAAGTTATGCAACAATAAACTGAAACACCCTGTATAGTTAAGCAGACTGACAACAAAAGTACCTAGCCAAGCTTCAACGGGTGATTCCTTGGGTATTGACTAATTTAAAGGCAACCAACGTAACTAATCAAAGACAAAAATAGAAATGATCTTCAAACAACGATAATATGAATAATATATACTAACATAAAATGCTTAGTGTCAGACCTCACTCGAAATCCAGCGGATTGTCCAAGTAGAAAGAATCTTGAGTTGCTAAACAAATTAAAAAGTAATACATTTGCATAAAAAAATTCGTTAAGTATCTTAATAGATTCATCTTATACTTCATTACCAACAAAGTCGAATAGATCAGAAGGAGCCAAGCATATTGCAGTCCATTTTGTCCTAAAACTGCGCTTTCGACTCGTTTGTCCACCAATGTCTACTAAAGTGACAGCGTTGTACCAACATAATAATACCTGAGGCTTGTGCTGCTCGAAATCGTCTAACACCACAATTATCTGCAAATACTCGCACTTGCAAATAATACTAAAACTACAAATTTAATGACAGGACTGTCAAAAAATTGACTTATGACAAGCGCAGTTTGAACCTCACTACAAACCCATATAGCACACAACATCTTTAAGATGTCTTATTTATGTCCTAATGAGGTCGTTATGTCTTAAGACCTGAAAAAGATATCTCCCAGATGTCTTACCAGAGATGTCTTTAAGACATCTGGAATGTAACATCTTTAAGATATCTTTTCCATACCTTTTGTGGCTGAAAACAATATTAGTAGTATCCAATTGACTGTTCTAAGTATTATAGCTATAATACTAGGTGCAATAGTTTTAGAGAAAAAAACAAATGCTTTATGTTTAAAAGAAAACTCAAAGCAGTAAAAAAATGGCCGCTTGACATTGACATAAGTCAATTGCGTTGCCCTATGGCTATGGATGATACGGGACTGTTCTCGCGTTCTCAGTGTTATGTGTTCTGTGAGCTGAAAGTATAAAGTTCGTAATGAGGTTGTGGTGCCTAATTAATGCTAATTAATCTATGTGTAATCACTGTAATCTGCACCAAAAGTGTCTTTTCTGTACCTCGCGGGCCTGCCTGCAAGTTGAAAGGTATGTATTTGTGGTTATCATCAGTTTTTTAGCTGGAATGTGTTTCTTAACCTTGTCTGATTTTCGCCCTTTAATGCGTGTTCTTTACTCTATAGATTCTCCGTGGATTCTCCCTTGTGATCCAGAGTAGGTCCTGCCATTTTTATCACGGAAAATTTTCAAATATGAAAATTGCAGATTTGCTAATTGGTACATATTTTTACCCTAATATGTTTCCAAAGTTTAATTTCATGATTTTCAGAGTCATTGCTTGCTACAACATTGTCAAAGTCAAAAAAGGAGGCTGAAACAGCAATTCAGTTATGGCTGAGAAGAGCATCTGATAGAAACACCTATCAAATGAATAAAAAACTTTAAACTTACGCTATACATTGTATTTTCCATTCCAAAATATATGGTCTAGATTTTTTCAATATTCAATAGTTTTACTGTAGAGTTATAGTTTTTATCGAAAAATGGGGTTAAAACAAGTCTTAAAACTGTTATCAAAAGACATCTTAAAGTCGTCGTCAACAGACATCTCAAAGATGTCATTTAAAGATGTCTTAAAGATGTTAGGATTTGTAACATACGTACGTTTATAAGACGTATATGAGACATTTTTCCGGAAATCCAAGATATCTTTAAGACAACTTGAACGTACAGAGTAAGATACCTTTTGAACGTTTTTAAGATGTCGTTGTGCTATATGGGAACTATGAGAATAAGGAAACAACCAAATCTTTAATTGACTCCTTCTACATGGTCTGAATGCGTTGTTCACTGCTGAAGTGATTCTTGGACCGTTTCAAAATTGATTATTGGGTATTGGGCAACTAATGTACCTCATTCAGCTAAAGCAGTCTATATTAATTGGACGGACAAGTATCACTAGCAATAGAATACGGCACGTGAAACTTTATAATCAGATGCATTTTATTTACCTTTTTAGGGTGGGAAACAGTAATCATGATGACACAATAAGCAACTGGGACATCAACCGCACGTTGTATCAATAATTTCGGCTCTATGGATTATATCTGTATCACACAGCATCATCTCCAGGGTGCTGTTGCCGAACGTAGGCAACCAGACATACAGAACGACGCTACATATAGTCCAACTTTTAAGTCCTTATAGTAGTGTTTTAACGTATTTGTATCAATTCGAATTGGCCTGTGACAATTTGCACAGTGCTTAAAATCAAGGAAACAGTACGATTATTATCAGATAATGATATGTTATATATATAAAGAGGTAAAAGGTACCGTACATAAGAGGCTTCGCACAGATATTGTCGACTGGGAGCGTGGCGTCTCCTGTAATCCAGCTACTTGGAGGTCGGGTTCAGTGGATGGTTTGAGGTCGGGAGTCCTGGCACAGGGCGTTTCGCGTTGACCGGGCGTCCACACTAAGCTCGGCGTCGATATGGGCACCCTGTGGGAGCTCGGGGTGGCCAGGTCGGCTAAGGAGGGGCGAACCGGGCCAGGGGGGAAACCCAGCAGCCAAAAGTCCCCGCGTTGTGCAGTAGTGGGATCGCGTCTGGGAGTGGAAACCCTGTGACAGCCCAACCAATAAAGCTAGACCTGGATCTTTTTGCAATAATTTTTCAGATTATACTTAATTTATATTGATATCTCCAGGAGAAAATTCAAGATAACTAAATTTTAACACTATTGTTTTTCCAATTTAAACACTAATGCCACTGCGGACATCTATTGGCAAAGAAACGCACTGCCTAGCGCTGGGTGACGCGGCGCACTACCCATCACTACGGTTACTCCCTGGCCGTCGGCAATAAGTCTGCCAACTTTTATACTCGGTGCATAGATGGCGCCATGCTTTGCATGAGGTCTACACTCTACAGTTGATTGGATATAGGTTCCCTTAGACGGTTTTACGTATCTAATAGGGCATTCAATAGTGTTACTACGAGTACTATCTCGTAGTAATTGAGTTAACGAATATAATTATTTAGTATTAGAGCCAGGATTTTACAAATACCCGAAAATAACGCAAATCTTCATCAGAGCGATTGATTTTGTCTGGCTACCCAGATTACATTCGCAAAACCAGAAGTACTCTTTTATTTTCTTTCTCACTGGAAGAATATGTTGGGGACAGCACCAGTGTTCACCTGAACAGCACAAATTTAATCCAAACTGGATACAGGGCTGTGTGAGTTAGCTGGGAAAGAAGTACGGTTAGAGGTTGCTGGCTACGCAAGCTAGCTACAAAAAAAAATATTAGTAGCCAATCTCAATTCCCCTTGCAACTAAAAATAAAGGTGAATGAAGCTAAGATGGACAATCTGGGCTGCCACACAAAAAACAAAGAATGGTGATCAGTCGGAATGGTGATCAGTCGATACAATTATACAATTATGATACAAGTTCAACATAAACAATTTTTATATCTTGATTTTAGAACACGGAGTATCAACAAATCTGTTCTCAATTTTATATATGTCTTTTTTTCCACGATCCGACACGCTCGCGTATCTCTGATTGTTTTATAATACGGACGATTATATAAATTTGAACATAAAAGATCTATTATTTTCACTACCTACATCGTAAAATTTTACGCTACACAGATTACGAATGGAGACTTTAATTGAAGATCAAGCGTCGCATAGTCTGGGCATGATGGAAAACATAACCTTATTCACCTAATTATGTTACTGATTGTTTTGCTATGTGTCTACGTCATATTCTGGAAACAAGCAGAGGACTTGTCATATTTTACCTAAATAAAATAAAACAAAAAAAATTAAAAAACCGATAAATATTTTGTGCCAAAGCTTTTAGGACATATGCTATCCTAACTGAAAGAAACAATCAATAAGTTAGACAGATCCACTAATGTCATCTGAACCATAGAATATGTTCTTCATTAAGATTATGGGTACGTTTTTGTCCTAAATGTTGCCATTCCCGATAGCATTAAATATTCATTAAATATTTTTAAAAAATATTTGTTAAATATTTGTAGCGGCAGATTCTTTAATATTTAATAAATATATTTCTTATATGTTTATAAAATATTCATTATAGATATTTTTAGTAAATATAATTCATATATTTTTGCGATATTTTTTCGAAATTTAGGAAATATATGAGGAAATATTTTTAAATATCAATTTTATATTTTAATGGAATATCTAAAAATTTTCGTAAGTATGTATAGATTTTCATCGTCGATCTGATACATATTTTCAGTGTATATAGAAAATTCTCCATTGGTTATTTTAGCAAAACCTGTAGGAATACTTATATAAAATTTGATGTATAAAGAAAATTCATTCTAGATATAACGGTTTAATTTGCTAGAAAAATATTATTCTTGTTTGTAACATACTTTGTAAATACTTATGTTTGTTTTGTTTTTACTTCTAATTAAGTGTACTATGTACCTCCCCCTTGGGACGAGTCTTATGTCATTTTATGATCTACAATACAATAAACCTATCTGTCTATCTATCTATTAAAAAAACATTCTAAGCCTCTTCTGCATCTTGCAAGTCGACTCCTCTGAAAAAAAAACAAACTTACTAATTATGAAGTATTATTGAATACATAAGCTGCTTTCCAGTGTATTTATGGAAATATAGAATCCAGTGGAACAATATTGGTGCAGAGCATCGTGAGTTACTTCGAGTAGCTTAACTGGGCCATTAAAAAGCAGCAGCACCTAAAAGGACCCCACAAGGCTAGCTATTTATGGTCTTGTGAATACCTTTATACTCAACTGGCACAATAATGTTTACCAGATAAATTAACCTATTTAATTATCGAAAAATTTACCCTTTTCCCCAAAAAAAACACTCAAATAATGAACCACTTGGAGGTACACAGGAAGCACGCTATCATAATGAAAGTCAAAGGTAAAATGGATGCCTCAGGCCAGCTTGCTATTATCCCATTGGTCGCTCGAGGTCTCACGCACATGCGCCGTAGCCGAAAATGTTTTATGAATATTTTCTGAATATTGGAGATCTAACATTTTCCAATGATTGAGAAGTAAATATTTAATGAATATTGTAGAAGAAATATTGTATTTAAAATATTTAAGCGGTATTGAATAAATATTTAATAAAAATATTATATTACAAATATTTATTAAATATTTGTTCAAGAAAACAAATACTAAGTAAGATAAAAATATTATTGAATATTGAATAAATATTTAGTGAATATTTCGTGCTATCGGGGATTATATACCACATTCTTAAAGTTACATTTGACAGGTTAATAATGACGATGAAAAACGTTAGGTAGATATCGTGCATGCCTAAACAAAATCGAGACTCGCCACTAAAGACAATACTGTTCCATTCCTGATCCCAGAGTGACCGTTGTCTACACCACTCAAGGCGATTACGTCGGTGTAAGGGTTGGAAGGCGACGTGGTGAAAGGAGGAATCCACAGTTTTTTGTTGAAAGACATGTTCATCACACTGTTGGAATTATGGTTTGGGGTGCTATAGCTTATGGTTCCAGGTCACCTTTAATCTTGATCAGAGGTAACATGAACGCGCAGCGTTATATCCACGAAGTTCTAGAACCGCATCTTTTACCCTATCTTGACTCCCTGGCAGATCCAACTTTCCAACAAGATAATGCCCGACCACATGTTGCAAGAGTCACCATAGACTTCTTTCAACATAATGATGTCACATTGTTACCATGGCCACCAAGATCTCCCGACTTATCCCCAATTGAGCACGTGTGGGATATGATGGGTAGGAGATTGCTCAATTTGCAACGTCCTCCTCAGACTCTAGAAGCACTTCGGGAGGAGTTGGTGGTTGTCTGGAATGAGATACCACAGGAGGACATTGACCACCTGATCAGAAGCATGCCTAGGCGCGTTGGAGAATGCGTAGCACATCAGGGTGCATCCACACATTATTAAAGGTCAAAGGGCTTTAAAGCAGTGCAATCATTTTGAAATTTTTATCATTTACTTATTATGCTTCATTAAGTACTTATACAAAATTTTATTATAATAAAACCATTTAAACTGGGTGTTCGGATTTATATGTCACTTAGTATATTAATTCAATCTCATTATGTTGACAGCTTGAAAAGACCTGGTTACTAGATAAGTTGCAATATTTGAAAATGAGTGGTACGCGGATGACGTGTTGGTTTACATATAGTATTTTTTATAGTATTTAGGCGCGGATCCAGGACCACCTCTTGGGGCGGCAGGTAGTGTGGGTCGCTCACTTTAGGGGGTATTGTCAAGTCGTTTACGCTCAGTATAAAGTAATTGAGAAGCGAAATAATAAACAGCAGTGTAAGAACAAAATGCACATATAATTTAAGTTTAATTTTCAAACAAAAAACAATGTGATCCCCCGGTCTTTATTCCCCTTTCGTGATTTTTTTTCCTACACGCCAGAGGCCTTGCAGGG